CAGGATACAGACCAATTCCATTACCCCAAAAGTCCTCTCATGTGCCTATCCCTTATAGTTGCACCTTCTCCCACCATTACCTCCTGGCAACCACTGATCTATTTTCCATCACTGTCGTTTTGTGATTTCAAGAAGGTCGTATAAATGGAATCACAATAGTAGGATTCCTTTGGGACTGCCTTCTTTCACTCAGCATAATGCCTTTGAGATTCATTGAAGTTGTTGTATGTGTCAGTAGTTCATTCCTTTTTATTGCTGAATAGTATTCCACAGCATGAAAGTACCCCTGTTTGTTTATTCATTCACCTGTGGAAGGACATTTGGATTGTTTCTAGTTTTTGGCGATTGTAATAGAGCTGCCATTTATGTATGTTTTTGTGTGAACATAAGTTTTTATATATTTTTATTATGATGAGATTACATACAAGGACATTGTTTGTTAATATAGTCTCTTTCCACACTGAAATATATGAACCTGCAGGATTTTGCCTGATCCAAAACCAGCAGCAGACTATCACAGTTAAGAGTAAGCTCCTTACCTGTATATGACTCGCAGCTCTCCTGTTTAATAGTGGTGTGGCATTAGGCAAGTTACTTCACATCTCTATGCCTCAATTTTCCCCAACCTGAAAAACTGAAACACCTGGCAGTATCCCCACATTGGTTTCCTGCCCTGTGGACTGAGGGCTATTAGAGTGGGAAAGGCCACGTGGAAGCCACTAGATCTGCCTCTATCGAGGAAAATAATACACCCAAAGCAACACTGCATATTGGAGGGATTGCAGAGATCAGGGCCACCGTCAAAGATCTGGAAGATGCAGGGTTGGTCATTCCCACCACATCCCCATTTAACTCTCCTATGTGGCTTGTACAGAAGACAGATGGATCTTGGAGAATGACAGTGGATTATTGTCAAGCTGAACTAGGTGGTGATTCCACTTGCAGCTGCTGTACCAGACGTGGTTTCGCTGCTTGAGCAAATTAACACATCCCCTGGAAACTGATATGCAACTCTTGGGCTGGCAAATGCCTTTTTCTCCATCCCTGTCAATGAGAACCACCAGAAGCAGTTTGCTTTCAGCTGGCAAGGCCAGCATGACACCTTCCCTGTCCCACCTCAGAGGTATATCAACTTTCCAGCTCTACGTCATAATTTAATTCATAGGAATCTTGATCTCCTTTCCCTTCCACAGGCTATCACACTGATCCATTACACTGATGATATCATGCTGATTGGACCCAGTGAGCAAGAGGTAGTAACCACTTTAGACTTACTGGTAAGACCTTGGTGTGTCAGAGGATGGGAAAAAAAATCTGGCACAAATTCAGGGGCCTTCTATCTCAGTGAAATTTTTAGGGGTCCTGTGGTGTGAGCATGTCAACATATCCCTTCTAAGGTAATGGATAAGTTGTTACATCTGGCCTCTCTTACAATCAAAAAAAGAGACACAATGCTGAGGGGGCCTCTTTGGATTTTGGAGGCAACATATTCCATTTCGGTGTATTATTCCAACCCATATCCCAAGTGACTCAAAAAGCTGTTGAATAAGAAGACTCTGCAATATGTCCAGAGTGCTGCACAAGCTTCTCTGCCATTTGGGCCATAGGATCCAGCAGATCCAACGGTGCTCAAAGTGTCAGTGGCAGGTAAGGATGCTACTAGGAGTCTTTGACAGGTCCCAACGGGTGACTTGCAGCTCAGACTCTTAGGATTTTAGAACAAAGCCTGACATCCTCTATGGATAACTCTTCTCCTTTTGAGAAATAGCTCTTGGCCTGCTACTAGACCTTAGTAAGGACCTAATGCTTAACCATGGGCCATCAAATTACCATGAGACCTGAGCTGCTCATCACCTGACTCATGAGGACGGACGCTACACTCCAAAAGAACGATGTGAGTTTTCTAATTTATACAGACAGAAATCTAGGGAACATGTGTGGGAATGGATATTAAAGGTACAGGATAATGGTAGAAGGAACACAAAGTGACTTCTCAACCTCCAAAACTGTATAAGCGAATTCCTCATAACAAATCTCTTTCATATATACAGTTGCTCCTTGAATAACATGGGTTGGAAGTGAGCAGGTCCACTTATACATGGATTTTTTACCATATACTACTGTAAATGTATTTTCTCTTCCTTATGATTTTAATGGCATTTTCTTTTCTCTAGCTTACTTTATTGTAAGAATACAGTAATACAATATATAACATACATATACAAAATGTGTTATTTTATATTTATTTATAATACATATACATATAACATACAAAAAAAAAAGTGTTAATCGACTGTTGGACTATTTATGTTATTGGTAAGGCTTCCCCAGTCAATGGTAGTCTGTTACATTTTTGAGGGATTAAAAGCTATACTTGGGCTTTCGCCTGCGTGGGGGGTCAGCAATCCTAAACCCTGCCTTGTTCAAGTATCAACTGCAAAATGAAAGTCACATATATATCTCCTACTGGTTTCATTCCTCTGGAGAACCCTAATATAGGCAAGTTATGCAACATCTCTATGTCTCAATTTCCTCATGCTGGAAAATTGGGATAAACACTTTCTACCTCCCAGAGTTGTGAGGATTAAAAAAAAGAATTGATACACGGAGTTTGCTGAGGTCAAAGCAGTGTTTTATACATTTTTGTATTTTTATCACCTAGTAAAGTTTCTGGCAGAATGCAGATGTTCATAAATATTTGTTGAATAAATGACTTTATCAATTTTTAAAATAATCCTAACAAATATAACTGTATTATTCATTATTTTTTATTCAGCAAATATTTATGAATACCTACTATGCCCAGGCATAAATATTTTCATTAAGAGGAAAATGAATCATTGATACAGACTATTTTAAACTATTTTTTTCCTCACAGAGCTATTCTTCCTTAAATAAAAATTCATTCCATGAAAATTTCTTTTTATGGAAATGAGATAAAGAATGAATAGCACATGCACTAGCTTCAATTACTTTCTGAAAGTCATATTAATTTACTTTTTGAACTAAAGAGCAAAACAAAGATTAAATAGAAGATAGGAATTTAAGTAAAAGTATTCAGTCAGGTTCCTTTTCTTAGTGGAGGTAATTTCAAATTCCTTGTCCTCAGAGCAGGGGCAGGTAATTAACTGTGTTTCACATACGTTGATGATTTTGAAACTTCCCCCATGGTAATGCCGGTGAATCTAACTTAGGCTGTATTTCCGGATTAAATGTAACATGATTGAAATTTGCATTTCCTTAATGGAGGGTGGTGTGGCTTGAAATAATTAGATTATATGGTGGCCCAATTATTTGGTTTGAACAGTCCTGCACACACCCTAAGGCTTAATTACCATGAATAAATCAATCCCACCCCAAAATCATTGGCTGTCACTGACAATAGCTTCAACTGTACTTGCACAGGGTAAGGAATTCAATGAGGAGGCTAAGACCCGTGATTAAAACTTTAGCCGTTAGAATAACCGCTGACTCTCTTAGAGATCCGTTTTTCTTCAATGTAGAATCTGCAATTCTACTCAATTTAAACTTTACAGTCATTTCTCTCTTCAAGACAGACTATCTAGGATTGAATTTCTTTTTTATTAAAGAAATATATTTAGGTAAGCTCTACACACGAGGTGGGGCTTGAACTCAGGACGCTGAAACCGGCGTCACATACTCTACCCACTCTGCCACCCAGGCGCCTCCTGAATTTCTTTTTTTCTAACTTTACTTATGAGATAGGCTTTTCTTTTCACTCTTAAAAAAAAAACTGGAAAAATTTTAGTTTTTTTTTAAAGAATTCGTAAAGTAATTAGAACTGGGTCTTGTTCAGAGAAATTTACCATTAAAGAAATCTTAGAACACGACTGAAATAAAGATATTTACAATAGAAACGCCTACTATCATATTTGCTCTGAGAAACACAGCAAAGTAAAATTCTGGATGAAGCTACTGCTCATTTCGATGTTTTTATTTATTAGGTCATCAGTTTCCAGTCGCTTTTAAGTATGTTCCTAAGCCAAAGGAAGGGGAGCGTGCCTATCCATGGACGAGGGAATCGGCTCTTCGTTTCGATCGGGTGAGCGGCAATCCAGGAGCAAGAAAACCCCAGGGAGGGTAGGGGCGGAAATTAGCAACTTAAACGCCCAGCTCCCGAGAAGGCGGCCGGGTATTAGAAACAAGTAGAGCAGAAGAGATTTGGGGCTAATTAAAACCAGCACAAGACACTCCCCCTCACGTTAGCCGGGCCGGGTCTCCAGCATTTGCAGAGTTGGGGGCGTGGACTAGTTAGGATTCAAATTTAAAGCGGGACGCCCGCGCAGAGCTCAGCAGGTGCCTCCAGCCCTGCTCTCCGCTGCGGGCGTTTCCGCCCCTACCTGCCCATCGGGCCGGAAATTACCTAGCAGGGGAGCTGCCCCTCCTTTGTTGTCAGCGGTTCCACAGCGCGGAAAGCCTTAAAAAGTGTGCAGCGGAGGAGACGCGGGGACTGGTCCGCCCACGAGAACTCCACGCGTTTCCACGCTCTTGGCCGCCGTGTCCCCTGCCCTTCCTTTAAAATGCCACTGTCCACTGGGGGGACGTCGGAGTAAAGCTGGGAGGGCAGTGAGGCGGGAAGAGAGGGAGGATTGTAAGAAGGGACGAGCACTTAACGTACTACACAGGTTACGCTTCAACAAGGAGCCCAGGGGAGGTAACGCATGCGCCGCCTGCATTTCAGGCGCGTGGAGAAAGTTGCGCATGTGCAGAGCCGAGAGAAAAAAATGCAGGAAAGGGGTGACTGGCAGGTTGAGGGCGCTTTAGCTACTGAAGAGCCACAGCGGCCAGGAGGCGCGTGCGCAGAGCGCCCGAAGGGGTGGGGCTCCTCCAAGGGGTCGGCCTCGCGCGCCCCCTGGCGCGCGCCCGGGGAGAAGAAGGAGCAGGAGGGGGCGGAGAGGAGGGAGGAGGCACGGAGGGCGGGAGGGGGGAGGGGAGCCGGAGCGGGGGAGGGTTTATCGACCGGGCGATTTTGGTTAAAATATTCAAAATGGCGGACGGAGGAGCAGCGAGTCAAGATGAGAGTTCAGCCGCGGCGGCAGCAGCAGCAGGTAATCATTACAGCATTTTACATATTCATATTCATACTCAACCCCGGCTCCCGCTGCCCCCCCCCGCGACTTAGCATAATTTATTAGTACTCAGGATTATTATAATTAACGGCGGGGAGATGGGGGGCCGGGGAGCACGGAGCCCCCGCCGGGCGCCAAGCGGAGGGGGAAAGAGGCTCGGAGCGGCCAGGCGGAGGGGGAAGACAAGGGGTAAAGGGGGCTGCGATCCACCGCCCTCCTCCTGCCCCCGGCCCACCCCGCCGCCGCCGCTGCTCGCTCGCCCGCCCGCCGGCACCGGCCCTCCTCCTCCGCCGGCCGCCGCCGCCGCCTCCTCGCCGCGGTGCCCGAACCCGAGCGGGTCCGCGGCGGGGCCGCGGGGCCGGGACACAGGGAGAGGACAATAAAGACATTTTACATATTCATAGCCGCCGGGCCGGCGGGGCGCGGGCGGGCGACCCGGGCGGGCGCGGGGTTGGGGGGGGCGTGGAGGGGGATGGAAGTGGTGGAGAGCACAATGCCGGGGAGGCGGCGGGGCCGGAGCGGACCCCGGCGGCCGGACAGCCAGACGCGCCCCCCCCCCCCGCCCCGGGAGAGGGCCCGGGCGGGGGAGGGGGGCGCCCGGGGAGAGCGTCCTGCCGGCGCCCGCGCCCCGCAGCCGCATCGGGGTCGGAGCGGGGCTGAGCCCGGGGGTCACGGCCCCGGGCACCTCGGCCGCGCCCCGCCTGTCCCCCGTGTGGCGGCCTGACCTGAGCCAGGCCTGCGCTCTAGGTGGGTAGGGGTGAGCGGTCGTGGGCGCTGTGAGGTGGCCTCGGGGCGGCGGGGTTGGGGAGCCCGCGCAGGGGTCCGCTTCGCCCCCTCCGGGGCGGACAGGGTTCAAAGGCGGCCCTCGTGGAAAGTTCCCCTCGGAGGGGGATGTCTTCTGGGGCAGCCCCATGTGCTCTGGACCATCGGTCAGCAGTCCCTGTAGGTCCTGGAAAATGGAAAAGACCCCTCTCCCTCGTGGGTCGTACTTTTCTCCGGGGAGTTGGGTTGGAGGTGCCTGGCGTGGTCTGATCTTCATCGCCGCCCTGCCCCTCCCCGCGCCCCCGCCTCTGCGCGCGACCCGGACGGACGCGGCCGGGGGCCCTAGGGGGCCTCTGGCTCCCAGGCCCCAGAAGCACCCGGAGGCCTCTCAAGAACTAGGATGTAGAGGGCTGCCCTCTTGCCCCTGCCCCACAACCGGCCGGCCTGACAAGTTGATAATATTCTAAATTTCCCCTCTCCTGTTGGGAGTTAGGTAAGGGCGGGGATCCCCCTCCCCGGTTCTGTGGTGGTGGTTTCTTGCTGGGTGCTGGGTCCTCTTTACTCTCTGCTTAGCCGAACCTCTCTCATTTGAATAATGTCTAATTCGGGGAGGTTTATATTATTGAAATGGCCGCCTGGCTTTCCCCGCCTCTCATGTTTAGTAATTCAGACCTTTAATAACAGCCACTCACAGCCCAACGCCGTGTTTATATTTTACATTCGCCCCATGTGCTTTTGTGGTTCGATATGATTCTTTTTTTTTTTTTCTTGGCAATCCACGGGGCTCTGAGATCAAACCCAGGCTGTGCTGGGAAGAGCAGGGGGAGAGCTAGGCCTTGACTCCTCTAGCAGTTGCCTAGGCCTCATTCTCTGCCGCTTGATTTATTTACTAATAACCAAAATGACTTTCCCCCACCAACTTCCATACACATACCCGTCCTCCGCGGGCAAAACAAACCCTCCTGGGGCCTTAACCAGCATTAAAGCAGCTCCTAGCTAAGCTTCAACTCTGTCGTGTTTTGTTTTCTCTTAAAAAGACTTTCTTATAGTTTGCAGTAATATTAGGCCTAAGGAAAAATTTTTTCTCATTTTCAGAGGCGAATGAAACCTATTTTGATTTAATACAAATAAATCACTTTACTTTAGTGATAGTTCTCCCCTGCCCCTTGGCTTCTACCTCCAAGTTAAACGCTTTCAGGCTTTGTAAAGGTCTGCAGTATTTGTAAAACCAATAGGTTTTTTTTTTCTAGGAGTTGTAGAGTAAGTGTTTTAGAAATTCCAATTAACAGCACTTTCAGAATGTCTCAGTGCTGCATTTCCTTTTCAGCTTCTTCATTCTGATTTAAAATAGGGCTGATATTAATTTTGTGCTATACCTGTCAAGGTTTGCTTATTTTACCGGTAGCGCTCCTAAAGACAGAAAATGGGGTTGTGTTTTCTTTGAGTGTTTGTGTCATGGTTAAATGAGGGAACATAGAAGAATAAACATAGGCATTATGTCTACCCTGATCTTGGAACTTATTCTCCTCCCAGCACACCCACCTCTCTTGAAGTTGTCAGAATTGATTTTATGTTTTATGTAGAATTAGGACAGTTGGTCTGTGAAAGTTAGGCTAACTTTTATTATTTAGAAGAAACAGTAATTTTCGTTTTTTGGTCTTTCCCGTGGTAAAGTTTTCTTTCCTTTTTATTTTATATAGTTTTAGTGTGTTTTTTAAAAACATAGTGTTGTTTCTCATTGGTGTTTTTTTTTTTTTTTTTTTACCCCTGCTAGTAAAGTACCAGAGAAGTGTTATTTAGCAGGGATGTGTTAAACTGTTGAAATTAAAAGGCACTTTATGGTCAGTTGCTAGGTACATATTTTGGGAGACATTAGTCTTCAGTTTAATTTGTAACAAAATTGTAGATTTGATGGGCTAACAGCAAGCCAGTTTCACATTACCAGTTCTCATCATTTTTCCTCTTTCACCTCCAGTAGGCAGGCCCTGAATGCAGCAGAAAAAAAATGTGTAGCTTTCATGTGAATGTTCAGGTGAATGACTGCTTTGGAGACCTGAAGCATGAGGTCGAATGGACACAAAGCAGTAATAAGATTTCATGCCTTAAATAGCATATGTTTTTGCACCCGATTCCCAAGATGTGGTCAAACTGATGATGTCATTGGACAGAGGACAAGGTGCAGTTAATTTGATTTATTGTCCTGAGGTGAAGTGTAGCAGTGAAACCTTCTCATAGGGAAACCATTTATCTCGGGACGATTTCCTTTATAGCTGCAATTTAACCACTACCGAGGCTGTAGATATTTTATCCAAGATGATAAAATGTACACTGCATTTTATAAACAAAATTCCACTGTTAGAATTTTTGTAATAGAGAAAAGGATGAGTATTGTTAACTAGCCTTATATTTTGGTTGGCATTCCATGCTATTGTAAAAATTCATTTCCTCAAATTCTCAGAAAAAGATTATGGGTTTTAAGTAAGTATAATCATGGAAGGGATCAATATAAATGCTTATTTTAGAGAGGTCCTTTGTGACCTCCCAAACTCAAGTAAGAAGCTGCCAGGCTAAAGAAGGAGAGATCATTTGCCTTAGAACCTATTTCAATGAGTAAAGTGAAGTTGAAGAGAATGAAGGCTATATATTCTTTTAGGTTGAAATTATAGTGTTTAAAATAAGGTAGATACTCATAAGAAAGCATGTGTTTTGCAAACAGTTTTTTAAAAATAAATCGAACTTCTTTTTGGACAGATTTGTGTATTTACTTTGTTTTTGATTAGTGATTTTTAGAATTGTTATGTTGTGAGGTAATGATTCCACCTATGATTTCTGACAGAAGACTCCTTTTAGACATTTTTCATCGTAGTTTTTACCAGTTTACCTTAAAGTGCTGATTAAAATGCTCTGGGAATGTTGTAGGATACTGTGCTTTATCCCTAAGTCTTCCAAGCTTGATACAGAATTTTAGATTACTTTTAAGCCTTGGTAAGTTTATAATCTGCCTGTCTCTTTAGGCATCTGTCAGGCGGTTTCTCACAAGTTTTCAGAAGATCCATTGTCACTTCCTTCTTAACTTGCCCCACCTATTAATTATAATGGTACTTTTGAGTTTAGGTCTTGAAAATTCATGTGACAGCTGACCAAATGTTTTTAATATCTGAAAGGACCATTCTGCTGCCAAGCTATCATTGTAAAGTAATTTTTAACATCTTTCCCAAACTAATTTCTAATTCCTTTCATTTTGTCATTGTCAAAAATCCCAGTAAAGGAAAAGCAAACTGACTATTATTCAGGTTTAAATTGTATAGTATTCTGCCATATTTTTAATTTACTATTCTCTGCATCAATAGGCAGCATAAAGCAGAAGAAATAAATGTGTTTTATTGCTGCCTAGATTGAAGTAATTGTTAATCTGTTATTCATCTGGTCATTGGATTTTGGAGTAAGTCTAGGGCTCAGAATGTTAAATTGCTCTTATCAGGCCACCAAAGATGTGTAAAGGAGCCTTGAATATCTTAGGCCAGTGCTTCTAACATGATAGAACTAGAAATTTGAATGTTATCTTTCATATGTATTTTGCATTAAAAATGAAATATTTGAAGTTTCTTGAATCTGAATTATTTGATCTTGGATTTAATTGTGAGTGTCTGTGTTTAAGTTGTTTTTAAAATTGGTCACTCACTTTCATGAATGTGTTTCCTTTGTACTAGGAAGACTATAATATTATGTAGTGGTGATTGCCTTATTATTAATGGGTTTTTTTGTTTTGTTTTTTGTTGAAAATCCACAGCTCTAGTCTTTGCATATAAGTCTTTCAAGCACTATTAAAAATAATTTTCTTTTAAAATAATGGTATATGGCTGTCATTAATTTCCTTTTATACAACAGTATTTGTTCAATTACAGTTTTTGTGATTAGTAAATACTTACTATGAAAGCGCAATTTTAAGCAGGATGTGTTTTCCCAATGGAAGTGATTATGTTTAGAACTATTTAAATAATTGTTGTTTCCCGAACGGAACAAGTCACAGACAAAACACGCTCCTTTTGGGTCATTTATGTTCTTGTTTCTGTTTCGTCTTTTAATGTTAAATGCCTGAGCGAACATGCTTATTACTTATTTCTTCAAGGAAATCCAATGCTAGGTGTTAGAGTCCGGATTTGGTTATTATACATCTGTCTTACTTGAGTGTCTGTATCCTTTCTGAATGAATTCTT